AAAAAAAAAGGGGGGGGGGGGGGAATTAACATTTTCAAAATGGTAGCCAGTCCAAACGCATTTTCCTGGTTTCTGAGCTTATTCTGGTAGTTAGAATGAGAGACAAATACTTTTTCATGTCCAAGGGTGTATCATAGGCGAGACCTCACGTTTTACCAAATTTGAAAACTCCTCGGGTGGAATTTCCTTCCCCTACACCCCTGGACATGAATCGGAATAGTCGTACAGTCTCCTTCCATCATCCATAAGGTTGTTCCAGGCCTGTAGGTGCAGAAAACCTATGTGACGTAACCCCTGGGATTTAGAGGATACATCAGTGTGAACTTACCATTGATCTCCTCTGCCTGACTGTTCTTTGGATTGTAGACAGTCTTGCTGAGTTTGATATGGAATGGGGAGGGCATATGTTGGGGCTCAATGTTTGGGCGGGGGTCTGGCATCAGGGTAGCACAGTCACAACAGCCTATGGTCGGTGTCCGTGATATAGAACTTGTGTCTGCCCGGGCATGGCTAATCACCACCCCGAGTACCAACAGGGCAACTCTCCCTAAACACATACTGAACACTCCGTCCCTGTAATAATAAAGTAACAAACATTAAGGTAAGTTATATACTGTCCATTCAGCTGGACGATCAGTCCCTGTTATAACATAGTAACAAACATAAAGGTCAGTCATATTGTCAGTTTAGCTGGACGCTGCGGCCCTGTACATGTATTGATAATTATTAAGGTAAGTTAAATTGTCTGTTCAGCTAGTCGCTGTGTCCCTGTAATAATAGAGTAACAAACATTAAGGTCAGTTATATACTGTCCATTCAGCTGGACGATCAGTCCCTGTTATAACATATATAGTAACAAACATAAAGGTCAGTTATATTGTCAGTTTAGCTGGACGCTGCGGCCCTGTACATGTATTGAAGGTCATGATACATATTTTCTGTTTAGCTGGATGCTCGGTCCTCAAAACAAAAGTGAAGTCAGTAACATGGTCTCTACACAGTACACATCCTGCAGAAACACATCGCCACTGTACCGATGAAGTCACAAATTGCAAAGGTTCATGTAAGTAACATTAGGTAATTAGCATTATAATATACAGTTGATCCCCTACCGGTACATATTTGTATTTTAAGAGTGACATCAAAAGGCAACCAAATTCTGTATATATACTTCTAGCATTATTTTCACCTATAATCGGTTATTGACCCTTTTGCCATATATCTTCAATGATTATCTTGGCCTGAGGAGTTGATGGTTACTATCTCCATCCTCACTCCACACCCAACGTTCACTGATAACACTGTGAAGCTCCAGCCTCCACCTTCTTCCTTGTGCTCTCATTACTTTTAGGGGGTGTTATAAGATGTAAAATTATACATATATACACACAATAATTGACAACTCGGAAGAACCTGACTTCACTTTAGTGGCGTTTTCCTGTAGAGATTTTTCAACTGTTATACATGTAGTAAACATTCCTTAAATCTGTAAACTGAAGCAGGTTATTACTCAGGGGTTAAAACTGTTATAACTGCACACCTATAGTTAACCCTTTCACCCCTATGAAACTTTAACTGACCCTACCATGCATTAATCTGGTTGAGTCCATATTATGGTTTATAGTGGTGAAAGGGTTAACTCATTCACCCCTGAACTTTAATAATGAACCATTCCAACCTTTGAATTGGAATAGTTCAAATGTGTCTTTAGGGGTAAATGAGTTAAAATAGTTGTTTGTAAGGATCATTTTTTTATATGTTTTTTACCAATTTGCTAGGTTACAGCCCAAGGGACTTATTAGTGGGATATGGTAGCTATATATATGGTAAAAAAATTCAAGGAAAATTTTACCCACAAACCTAGGCCTGTCATAGCTAACTATAATGACACAATGGCCGATATCCATCTCCCCAACAACACAAAAACCTGGGACCCCCTATATATCTATCTATCTTTACTGTCTGTGTAGCAGTGTTAAATGTCATGTTCGTATTACATCCCATCACATCACATCATATTAATCTCCCAAGTAAATGAAAACAGCTACTACTTTCTTGCATATTTCTCGTGATAAGGTTTATATTTATCTTCTGCAAATGGCTTAATTAACTATAATACAATCAAAGCAAATGTGTCTGTGCACTTGTTAACCATCCAAACAGTATAATATAATTTTCAGGCTACTCCCCAGATCCCTTTATAATGATGGACCAATCATTTGTAAAATTCTGATTCTTTTTACCCAATTAATTAATTCAGTATTTTTCCTGCCTGGAATGGCCAATCAGTTCTGAAAATATTTTTTTCTAAAATACTCCACAACAGGGAAGGTAGTACACAAAATATTTTCCAGTATTCAAGATCTAGAAAATAGGAAAGGATTAATCAAAACCCTTGTCAGGTACACAGGACAAAGGGAAGGATGTACCCAAAACTTGTTCAGCACACTATATAGACAACAGAATAGGAAAGACCTTATGTCTGGTCAGACAAGGCTAGGAATAACCAAAATCCTGTCCTAGACAACACTTTACCTCAAGAGTCAAAAGTTAATCACAAGTTACAGTACCTTATATAATTGTGTCCTGTTGGAGGTACGATCCACAGACAGCTATGTTAATCTGAGGAGGAAGCGGTGCCAGATATTGTGTATGTTTACCTTATCTCAGTGAGGTGTAAATATATGATCTCAGAGTTATATCTATGTGAGTCAGCTCTCTCTCTCTCTCCACATCAGTACCTGGTACTACCATCTCACTCCAGGCAGTACAGGAGTGGTCCGTCCCTCATCCCTCATCACACCTATATACACACTCATCTTCTTCCAAACTTAACACAGGAGAAGCAAAAGTTTACAATCCTTTTACAACATGTAACAATACCTCTGAACGATACCTCTGAACGCATTACCTGCTGTTTGTGAAAACCTGACTATACCGACACCTGACTTTAACAACATCCTGTAAAATCTGACAGGAATTTTTTTATATCTCGAAAGACAGGTTTAGCATCTATCTAATAACAACTGAATGATTCAGGTTCTCTAGATGTGGTTAACAGGTTAACTGTTCGTCATCACTACGTACACTGTCGTCATCACTACGTACACTGTCGTCATCATTACGTACACTGTCGTCATCATTACGTACACTGTTGTCATCATTACGTACACCGTTGTCATCATAACGTACACTGTCGTCATCATTACGTACACTGTCGTCATCATTACGTACACTGTCGTCATCATTATGTACACTGTCGTCATCATTATGTACACTGTCGTCATCATTACGTACACTGTTCATCATCATTATGTACACTGTCGTCATCATTACGTACACTGTCGTCATCATTACGTACACTGTTGTCATCATGACCTACACTGTTCGTCATCATTACGTACACTGCCGTCATCATTACATACACTTGTCATCATTACATACACTTGTCATCATTACGTACACTGTCGTCATCATTACGTACACTGTCCTCATCATTACGTACACTGTCGTCATCATTACGTACACTGTTGTCATCATGACCTACACTGTTCGTCATCATTACGTACACTGCCGTCATCATTACATACACTTGTCATCATTACATACACTTGTCATCATTACGTACACTGTCGTCATCATTACGTACACTGTCCTCATCATTACGTACACTGTCGTCATCATTACGTACACTGTCGTCATCATGACCTACACTGTCGTCATCATTACGTACACTGTCATCATCATTACGTACACTGTCATCATTATGTACACTGTCGACATCATTACGTACACTGTCATCATCATTACGTACACTGTCGTCGNGGTGACAACTTTTAATTTGGACAGATAAAGATGACCAAGAACTCCAAACAGGTGAGGCTGACACAAGACTCAAGAGAAGTAAGGTTGAGTCGAGACTTGGGAGAGATAAGGTTGAGTGTCAGGACTCAGGACAGGTAAGGTTGAGTCAGGACTCAGGACAGGTGAGGTTGAGTCAAGACTCAGAACAGGTAAGGTTGAGTGTCAGGACTCAGGACAGGTAAGGTTGAGTCAGGACTCAGGACAGGTGAGGTTGAGTCAAGACTCAGAAGAGATAAGGTTGAGTGTCAGGACTCAGGACAGGTAAGGTTGAGTCAGGACTCAGGACAGGTGAGGTTGAGTCAAGACTCAGAACAGGTAAGGTTGAGTGTCAGGACTCAGGACAGGTAAGGTTGAGTCAGGACTCAGGACAGGTGAGGTTGAGTCAAGACTCAGAAGAGATAAGGTTGAGTGTCAGGACTCAGGACAGGTAAGGTTGAGTCAGGACTCAGGACAGGTGAGGTTGAGTCAAGACTCAGAACAGGTAAGGTTGAGTGTCAGGACTCAGGACAGGTAAGGTTGAGTCAGGACTCAGGACAGGTGAGGTTGAGTCAAGACTCAGGACAGGTAAGGTTGAGTCAGGACTTAGGACTTAGTAAGAGGTGTTTTAGTGTAGACTGAAGATAGTCAACATTGAGCTACGGACTTGTGACTGTACATGTTGATGTTTTAAAGTTAGGACTCGCATGATCAGGACAGAACCAGACGAGATTCGAGTCAGACCTCAGGATGGGGCTGACCTACGTGTACAAGGAAGAATTCTTGACATTTCCCTGGCGGTGGATACTGGGCCTGACGCAGCTACTATATGTACTACATATTGATCCCAAATACTTGGTAATAATAAAGGAACGCCTAGCATACACTTAGATTTACAGATTATTGTGGGGGGTATATGGCTAATATCTATCAGGTGTGCCAGCAGTATGACCCGGTGAATGTACATGTTGATGTCTATATGTTGTAACTGGCCAGCACTTATAATCCAGGCCTGCTGTAAATCAAAGATTCACATACATCTATACCTATGGTAATTACACCTGACCATACCAACTAGGCAGACACATACCAGAAAACATCTCTCCCGTTGCCACAGGCATGGACTAAACCAAGGATGCTGTACCAGGATATTACATGGCAAACTTACTTGAACACTTAAAGTTACCACTTTACTTATGTATTTATAATGTACCTATCACCTGTACATATTCCCTATAGAGAACACCAGCCAGAGCATTAATTGGTCAGGCCATGGGATTAGAACACCGAAACCATTGAAAGAAAGTAATTGGACAATAGCTTTGTTTGATTTGGTTTGGTTTAATGTCCTATTAACAGCTAAGGTCATTTAATTCATTCACCCCTGAAGACGCATTTGAACTCTTCCAATTCAAAGTTTGGAATAGTTCATTGTGAAATTTCAGGGGTGAATGAGTAAATGACGTGCCTCCATGTGTGTTGTGTAAGCATGCAAGTGTGTATGTATGCTGGACACAGAGTATGCTGGTGTACCTGAATTGGACATTATATTAATGGTGACAATCTTATAGAGACTCAATTACAGGGAAGCAATCAAGTATCGTTGGAGGACCTGTTTTCCTGACCTTTGTATGGACTAACTAGCTAGATACAGATGATGGACTGGGGGATAAATAGAATAAATGTATGTACTTTTAAATCCAGGACTTGGAAAGTTGACAGAGTAATCTATATATGGACTGGTGGATCAAGATTTAATAGCATTTTTACCTCATTCACCTCTAAAGTCACATTTGAACCTTACCAAATCAAAGACTAGGCAGGTCCAGTTTAGATATGTGGGGGTGAATGAGTTAAGCGTCATCTCCCATGGTCACAAGACATCATATTAGCTATTGCATAGACAAACACAAAAGCAATCATACGTGGGTAGATACAGCACTAGGTTTGTTTTTTCACCGGAACCCAAAAAGAATCCATTCCATAGTTATATGTAGGCCCTCACGTAAGTTTCTGCATTGCATACATACCAGCAGCCGTATCACAAGCACATTGAGCTTCCGTTACCACTCTACCCCAAACCGGACTCCAATGTCTATAAATACTCCTTCATCAATACACAATATGTTGTAATCAGTCACACATGCTGTACTTCCTTCTGGGTCACACAGTGCTCCCGCTTGTCACACTTAAGGGTCCACGAAAGCTGAATAACTATCTTATACAAAGAATTCCTTTGTCAGTTGTCTGCTTACTAACACCTTGACAAACTTCAACGGCAAAAATGTGTTTGATTATTCACACGACATGTATACTTACTGTACACAAGAACTAGTTCATTTTAGTTTCCAAAAATTGTAACAAAATTATGCATAATTTATTAACTTCTTGCCGTTTTCAGTGATCAAAGAGACTTTCCATTTACTTCCTGTCAGTCATTCATCAACATCTTTCCAATTAGACATCTAACATGTTTTAAATTCCTGGAAGCATGATCATTATCTTGGACCGCATATCTACAATCAGGACAAGCTCCTAGATGCTCAGATTATGCTTCCCTGTCTAGTTATAGAAAGATTACAAACTCTTAGACATGATGAGCTCATACTGAGGTAGAGAAGATGTAACAGTACTCCTATAGACCGTGGCCAGCCTCCGTATCTGTCTGGTCTTAAATCAGCATCACAGGAATTACCTTATCTCCCCCGCTATAAATACATCTGACAGACCATTACATCACATTAACAGGCAAAGTGGTTTCATTTACTCCTTCTTAAAATAGGTTCAAAACTCCAAATACTTGGTAACAGGCTAATAACAGAATTTTGTTGATCTAACTCGAGCCATGGTACAAATGTAAATTAAGCCTATCACATTTCATTCCTTAAAATTAATTTCAAAACAAAATGTCTACATCAGAATCCAAATTCTTGCTTACATCAGAAACCAACATTTCTACATCAGAAACCAAATATCTACATCAGAAACCAACATTTCTACATCAGAAACCAACATATCTACATCAGAAAACCAACATCTCTACATCAGAAACCAACATTTCTACATCAGAAACCGATTTATCTACATCAGAAACCAACATTTCTACATCAGAAACCAAATATCTACATCAGAAACCAACATCTCTACATCAGAAACCAACATTTCTACATCAGAAACCAAATATCTACATCAGAAACCAAATATCTACATCAGACACCAAATATCTACATCAGAAACCAACATATCTACATCAGAAACCAAATATCTATATCAGAAACCAACATCTCTACATCAGAAACCAATATTTCTACATTAGAAACCAACATCTCTACATAAGAAACCAACATTTCTACATCAGAAACCAAATATCTACATCAGAAACCAACATTTCTACATCAGAAACCAAATATCTATATCAGAAACCAAATATCTACATCAGAAACCAACATATCTACATCAGAAACCCAAATATCTACATCAGAAACCAAATATCTACATCAGAAACCAACATTTCTACATCAGAAACCAAATATCTATATCAGAAACCAAATATCTACATCAGAAACCAACATATCTACATCAGAAACCCAAATATCTACATCAGAAACCAAATATCTACATCAGAAACCAACATTTCTACATCAGAAACCAAATATCTATATCAGAAACCAAATATCTACATCAGAAACCAACATATCTACATCAGAAACCCAAATATCTACATCAGAAACCAAATATCTACATCAGAAACCAACATTTCTACATCAGAAACCAACATCTCTATATCAGAAATCAAATATCTACATCAGAAACCAACATCTCTACATCAGAAACCAACATCTCTACATCAGAAATCAAATATCTACATCAGAAACCAACATCTCTACATCAGAAACCCAAATAAAATGTCTACATCAGAAACCACCAAACTGTTTACATAAAAGAACAAAATACTACAAGAATCAAAAGCTGTTTTCGGCTATGAATGTATGCAGTGTATAATATTCCTGTTTAAATTAGGGTAATGTTCAATGGTTTTAAGATTGGTGTGTATAACTGTTTATAACTGTTTCCATAATGAAGGAAATGTTGATTTTGTAGGTTCATTAAAACACAAAACCTGTAAAATTACATTCCCACAAAAATTAGCCTGTATACAGTAACAGTAAATTTAAACTAGATTCAGTAATTTTCTGTGGGAAATGTTTTGATATGCACTGTATCTGTCACATATCTAGATCTGTTGCTATGCAGGAAAACAGCATGTGGTTCAGCAGCTGTAAAATGTTCAAATGAGGGGGGGAATGGGGTGAGGGATCCCCTGGAGGGGTCAGAGGGGAGGATATAATCATTACACGCTGTCTGTGTACCCAGTGGTTTAACAGCTCACAGCCCAGGTCTGTAACATACCAGCAGGTGGATATATAGGGAGTTGAGCATGAACTGGGCACGGCATATAAACATGCAGTCAAGGAGGCATGCATGGATCAGGCATGGTAGGCAGTGAGGCATGTCATGGCAGTCAGCTGTCAGTGAAACATGTAAAGGGATACAGGCTGATCCCTTCAGTTGATCAGCCAAACAAAGTATCAGGTCCCTAATTCTACAGTAAATATTTCACCTTTATTTTATACATGTTATAATATATAACACGTTATCACTGTTATTGACATTGTAAACACTGTCTGATGTAGATTGCTTTGAACCGTTGAAAATGTTTAATACGTAATTTTTAAAAATTGATCATTTAATTTGGTGCATATATATTCCTTTTGATTTGATTATGTCTGTGATTATGTCAACTATTAGCCCATATCAAATATCTATAGTTCCTCTACAGTATAACTGTCAGCGCAGTGGCATGGTCTTTTTAAAACGAATTAACAAACGGAGGTCGATCCCTTCAATATCTAGTACTTTACAATATATGACTGTGGTGTACAAGTTTGAGAGATATTGAATACACCTATACATGCACACATGGTTATCCCAC